GAAGGGCAGAGGAAATGGATACCATTAAGATAAAAAAAATCATTGGAGCAGAAGAAGGCGATTGAAAGGAAGGAAGGAGGGATGGGAAAGGGAAGGAAAAATGGACTGAATTAAACAAAATCACATTGTGTGCATATATAAATATACGACAGCGAGTTTCACCTTTATGTATTTGTGGAAACACCAATCAAGTATGGATAAATGGATGAGCAAGGGGAGGATCAATGGAGTGGGTGGCAGAGGGGGATGTGAAAAGAGGGGGTAGGAATGGGGACTGAAATGGACTGGGTCAGATTCCATGAACGCATGATTTTGTTGGGATAAACCAAGCTACGTATATAACTATAATGCTCTAATAAAAAAGTAAAATAAGAAGGAGGCATTATCTCTGGATGAGAATAAATTGTAGGTGATGGGGTGCCTCTTTTAATCTCAAAATAACTCTTTCATATTCCATTTATAAGTTAGATCTGATCTTCTCACAGTGCCAAGGGGACCTTAGATGAAGATAGCCTTATTTCTCATCACATAGATAAAGAAATAAAGACCAGATCTAGAAAGTGAAAGTATATTCAAGACCATATAACAATCAAGGGCAGAGCTGAGTGCAGATCCCTGGTGTTCTAATTCTCTAGTTCATACAGAAAACTGCTAAACCTGAAATGGAAAGGGATAGATACTATAAAGCTCACTTTGCAGAGAAGTAAAAGAAAGGACACATCCACAGTAAAAGGCAGAGAGCTATCTGGCTCTTCACTCGAACTCTCCTTTGTCTTCCCTGTGTGGAGACTACTTCACCCACAGGCTAAATTAACAACCACACAAAGTCATGTACATTTAAGCACTAGTTTTGCTGAGCCAAGTCCTGTGGCTTTGGGCTGTATAAGGGCATTTAACAGGTGGAAGGAGGAGATTTATACATTAATCAAATTCTCCATCATAAAGACTTTTTTTTTCCTGCTTTGCTTGTTCAAAACCACAGCACAAAATGTAATTAAGGGCTCCTTTCCAGCTGAGGCAGAAGGCATCATCCTTTCCAATGTGTTCACTGGAATGTACCCAAGGAGACCCCAGCCACCCAAGAAGTTAGTGTCCAATGGTTCCCAAGGCCATTCAGAGCACACCCTGGCTGTCATCCAGAATCAGGCTAGAAGCATCTCACAAGCTTCAGGCAAGTCATATCCCTCTCTGTTGTTCCTTGACCATGCTACAAAAAGGGCCTCAAGAGTTTACCTAGTACCTTGCACAGCTCAAGGAGTCAGGGCTCTCATAGAAAACTTCCATTCTGCATTGGAAGGTCTATGGGAGAAGAACAACCTTTTACTTGGGTGTAACCCCAACTGTGGCATGTTTTATATATAGTGTGAGATCCAGAAATGTTTATTAAGTAAGAAATGCTCCTAAAATTGCTCTACTTATAATCTTCCTTTTGGGGTCAACCAATGGTTTCTTCCACACAAAATGTAGATCCTACTTTAAAATGTCATGTTCCTAGTACTTTAAGAATCGATGAAGTAATCAAGTACTACCAAGAAGAGGAGGTACCAGGGGAAGCAAAGAAAAAGGAAAGTACAAATTTAGGTAAAATTTATTTTTATCTAATCTTAGATAATATTTGTCTGTTACATGCTGGGCACCGTGCACTCATTATCTCATTTGATTCCTGAGAAGTAGGAATTATGAAATTATGTTTTACATACATAGAAACTGAGGTTTGCAGATATCATTCAGCAGCACACAGTGAATAGGGGATTGAGGCAGGATTTCAATCCAAGCCAGTGTGGCACAGAGCATACAGGATTTGCTTTAAATCTTGTATTTTCTACAAAGTTTCTTGTAGAAAACTTAGGGAAAATCTTTTTCTATCTGGTTCTTCAGAGAGCAAAAGAAAGGTCCAGAAAGGGAAAGGGACTTGCACAAGACGATGTCATTACTCAGTATCAGAGCCCAGGCCCATCAACTCCTGGTCAAATCCCTTTCCTCAGCATGCAGAGATGGCAAAGAAGTCTCCCTTTCTACATGGGATGTTCTCATGCTCTTCCTTCTTCCCCCAAACCAGCCTTCCACGTTCATTTTATGCATTTGACCACAAGGACCCAGTTTAACTGCCACTTCCTCAGGGAAGCCTTCCCAGTCCACAAGGCCTTCTGTCACACTTTCAACCCATTGGCCTAAACATCTCCTTGTCATTTTGCGCAATATGATTTTGCACTATATGACTTACTTGTGTGATTATTTCATGACTATCTGTCTGCTCCACCAATCTGGCAACTCCATGAAGTTGAAGACCATGTAGGAGCTGGGGATGTAGCTCAGTGGTAGAATATTTGCATAGCATGCACAAGGCCCTGGGTTTGATCCCCAGCACTACAAACACAATAAAAATGAAGACCATGTCTATCTGTCAGACTGTTCATTTTTCATAGCGTAACACAGTAGTTGGCATAGAGTGGATATCCAAAAATACTGAATTAATGAATGAATGACTAAAGCTTCCAGCTCTCCAGATCTCCTGCAAGGAGAACAGTGACATCTAGTGACCATTTTCACACTCTTGAGATTCTACAAATACTGCACTGGATTTCCAAAATAACGAACACCTATTTCAACAATGCCAAGCGAAGCTGGCATGAACTCCAGACATAGAGAATTCTGATTCCTGAGCAAAAAGGAAAAGGACCACTACTTTTCCTGTTGCCACACATGCGCGCCAAGAGCATATTCCAAAAGTCTCATGACTTTGTTTGTATTGTACCCCATTGCAGATAAGGAAAATTTGACCAAAAATGCAGTCATGAGGACAAAGTCACAGAGCAGCGAATGGGAATATTCAAAGTATCACTCACAAAGTCCTTGATCCATAGCCACCAATGTGCTGTTTTTTCTCATCCAAACTGATACACTAACCAGAACACCTTGTTATTTGCTGAAAGCTGTGGCTCCCTCTTCCGGATATCCCTGTGTCCACTCTTACATTCCCATAACCTGTTGTCACCCTGCAGCCAGAGGTTGGAGACGTAAGGTTGTTTTTGATAGTGTGGCGACCTTGGAAGCACAGACTCAGACTATTCATGATATTTGGTTCAGACTCAAGCACCTTGTTGTGTCATGCTCAGTCATAATTTATTCACTTGGTTAGCTAATAAGTGAGTTAGTTTTAACATTCAACTCTTTAATAGACGCCTACAAATCGACCACCATAAAAGCCAGCTAGGAACTTGACTACCTACATGTGACCTATGCCCTCTTGTGCCATTGTACTGCCTCCCTTGACTCAAGGTTATCATTTCCTATGTTCACAGTTCCTTGCTTCCCTTTTAAAAATGGTTGTATGTGCATTTATTCCTGAAAGGTAGTGTATTTGGTATATGTGTGCTTTAACTTTTAAAAGTAGATCCCATTCTGCTATGTAAAATCTATCTTTGGGACTTATTTTATTCACATAACATTATGATTACTCATTTCACATTGACAGTTGTTATTGTCATTCATTAATTTTGGCTGCTACTGTGTATTCTATCTAAATAACCCACACTATATTTAACTGCTCCAATGGTGATTCTAATAGAGGCTCCTTCTGCCACACAACTCTAATCCCATCAACTTCCTTCTAATAATGGTTCTTCATCATCTCATTGCTCTAAGAACAGGGACCAGACTCCATGATCTGCTTTATAATATCCTAAATAATCAGATCTCTTCTAATTGCCCTGGCCTCATTTCTGATTCTTCCTACATCTCTTGGTCTTAATTATGGGGAAATGGTTTGGGTCTCTGCACAGACCTTGTTCTTCCTTAGGTCATCTACCTGACACTTTCTCCACATCCTTGTTACCATCCTATTTCTGTCTTCTCTGAAGCTCTATCTGACCTCCAGCCACCCTCAAGCTCTTGGCCCTATGGGATACTATGGAAGGGGCACATAATTCAAGGAGTTCTATTGGACACAATCAATCATCTGCCACACTGACTTTTTTTTTTTTTGAGGCCCTGTTCTTTCTGGAAGCTGCTGTAGAAGGAAGAATGAGAACCAAGTAAGAGATGCTCTTATCCATGTTCCTTTTCCTCACTGAAGTAGAACCACCATGTGCATTTATTCCTGGTTTTATTAATTGGAGTTCTGGAATGTTGCATTTATAGAAAGTGTCCCATGAATATAAGTTTACAAACCAGTGAGCCAAATAATGCATATGATTCCTTAAAGTCCTAATAAACCCTATTAAAAAAGTGAGAGACACGAGGAAAAGAAGAGATACCATTTCATAGTCAGGCATGGAAGCTCTGAAGCAAACTAACTTTGAGTAAATCACATAACATCTTTAAGATTTCCTCAACTGTTATTACATAGATGTCACATTAGGATTAACCATACAGAACTTCCATTTTATAATTAAAAAGATGCCCACATGTCAGCAATTTTATGCAAATATGTCCAATATTTTTAAGTAAGTCATAGAACTGGGACGCAAATTAGATGAGACAACCCAAGTATAGAATCGAAGCAGACACTGCTAGGTTTTCACCAAACCCATGTCTACTTCTAGGCACACAGAATATATTTCTCCGTCTTCTTGCAGACTGGTGTGGACAATATCTGAGCTGTGATCCATGGAACTGGAGTTGAAATGACATTTGCTACTTTCAGGCTTGGACCATTTAAACTTTTCATGAGCAGTGCTCCATATCTTTTCTCCTTTTACAGTGACCATGGAAACAGTGGTTTGATAGAGCACAAGATGGAAAGGATTGGGTCCCTGAACCGCTTCTCAGAGTAAAGACACCCATCAATCAAAAATATCTATTAAGGACTCTGCACAAATAAAAAAAAACCTCTGTTGTATTGAAACACTAAGATTTAGAATATAAGGAATCAATAAATGCTGGTAATCACCATGATGCTGTTGTTGATGATGATGATGATGACAATCCCCATGGACAAAGAGTCCACAGGTAGGAGGGTTTCTCAGGTTTGACTTGGTGGCTGGGCCAGGGGAGCTCACCTCCTTTGTGCCATTGTCTTGAATGAGGGTGTAAAGTGGGACCACGTGGTTGATTTCCAGCAGCACTGGTGTGGGGCTCAGCTGCTCCTTGCCCGGCCGCCGGCAAAGGTGGCAGGTAGAAGGACAGCGGCCTTTCTCCTCACAGCGAATCTCCACACCTGAGATGAGCTGGTCATCAGACAGCATCTGTGCCGTCAGCAGACCTGAAAGGTAGGTGATGAAGGGCATGGACTTGAGCTCCTTCTTGCTGCCCAGTTCTGTGGTCTCTGGAGAGGCACAAAATAGGAAGAGGTAGAGGTGAATTTAGTATTGTTTAAAAGGCCAGATTCTTGAACCCACAAAGAGCATGCCCTAAGGAGCTGGTATTCATTGGAAATGAAAAAAAAAAAAAGATGATAAAGTGATTTTTGCATGATGTCTTGAAAAGATCATTGGCCTGAGCATTCAGAGACCAGAATGGTGTCTTTCTCCTGCCATGTATACACGAGGTATCCTTTTACTCTCTCTAGCCCTCAATTTTTCCATGTTTAAAGTTGGTAGGTTGGGGTTAAGTGTTTTTCCAAGCAATTTGAAAGATACAAATACTCAAAGATATTTTCCCCAACCAGAAATTCCTTTCTGTCTACTGTCAACCTTCACAAACTATACTCTTCCTTTACAATTTTTCTCTAGTTCTATATTTTCCTTGAAACTCAATATAATGAAAGAAACATAAGCTTTGGGTCAAGTCAATTTCAGTTTAAATCCCAGTTCTGCCTGATAACGCCTCCTCAACCTTGAAAAAGTGTCTTGAGTATTCAGGAGATTCTCATCATTGATTCTGTGAAATGGGTTTAATGACCCCAATGGAATCAGTTGTGAGTGGCAGATGATATAGGAAGTGGTACTGCTTGGAACAGACATCATTTCCCCTTTATTTCTGTGCTTACCTGTTCCCTTGTTCAAACTTCTTTTCCTGCACACTTCTTCATGTGCATCTTGAGATGTGATTTGTATATGCTCCATGCTCTGCTTTGTCTTTCTTGACCTATACAACTAGTATTTCCTATCTCTGTGCCTTTGCCTCTCCTGCTTTTCTCTGTCTCAACAAATCTTTTCTAGCCATTTACACTCCATTTAAACAAATATTTTTACTTATGAGATCTTATTTTAAGTTCACTTTCCTTTCCCATTTTCTCCTGCCTTTTCCAACAGTATTATCAACTCTTGGAGCCTAGGGGTTGTGTTACCCATTCCTGTCCACCTCAGTGCCTAACATGAGTCTTGATGTAAGACTCAGTTAAAGATGGATCTTATAAAACTTTGATTGGCTAAAACTATACTCATAACTCTATTCTAATGCCTCCAAAATTCTTAGGAATTCAAGAATTTCTAGGAAGCACCTGAGCAACTGCTTCCATAGGGCAAAAGGAAAACTGAGTAGTCAGGGCTGGAAACCTCATATCAGCTTCATATAGAGAAGTTCTGCTTTTATTTCTCTAAGACCAGCTTTCTATATAAGATTTCCTAAAAAGATGGGGTTCTAAGTTCCATCAAAAAAGCTTGAAGATATAAAGTGATCTGAATAACCCAATGGGTTACATTGAAATCACAGACTGAATGAATGGTATCATCCAAGATGTACCATGCTCAATCTGAGTGCCAAAAAAGAGAGATCCTGTACTAAGATACAGAGCTTAATTCAGACAGCAGCTTCTACCAAGCCTGGTGAAATCAAGGTAAACTCTTATCTCAGTGGGCACAGGTCCTGGGCACTGAGAACTGAAAGTAAAATGAGATTTCTCCTGCTCCTGCTCTCAGCTTGCAGTGACATGCAGCTGATCTGGAAATGGGCTTGCCAATTAGAAATACAAATAAACGCAGCCTTCATTCATTACTCTCTGGGCCTTCCAGCCTGGGATCTGGGCTCCACCTTTTCTGTCTGGCTGTCAGCAAATGCTCATGAGCATCAGATCAAAGGCTCCAGGGGAGGAAGACAAGGCAAATTCCAGCTAACCAATCCTTTAGAGGGATTAAAGAAGGATAGTTACTAAGATAAACAAAACAAGGCTGTGAAGAAGGCAGCCCAGCAGCTGGGGAGATGGAGACAGCCTTATACACAGGCATGTCAAAAGAAGATGATGATAACTTTTGAAACTGCAGGCCAGAGGAATAGCTTTTGGACAAGGGTGACTTCAAGCTTGGAAGGGAATAGTCATTTGGGGAGAAGATCAGGAAGGAGTCAGAGCTACAAGGATACTAGGAATCAGCCCACGCTGTGGTCTGCAGGTCAACAAAGTATGGCCCATGGGGAAATTCATCCCATATTTGTTTTTGTAAATAAAGTTTTATTGGAACACAGCCATTCCCATTCATTAGTGTATTGTGTATGACCACAGTGGCAGAATGGAGTGGTTACAATAAAGACTCTCTATGGCACACAAAGCTAAAATGTGTCCTGCCTGAGCCTTTTCAGGAAAAGTTTGGCAACTGCTGCTCTAGTCCCAATTAATATATGGCAATATGATGGATCAGTTAAAAAGTAAAAACTTTGGAAGCAAGTAGGTTATTGATACACATGTATCGTGAATCTCCAAGAGTGGAAAAGTGGAGCCTCTTTTCTCCATATATAATATAATATAATCTATGTGTGTGTATGTATATATTTTGAGGGCTTGGTATGTAGTTCAGTGGTAGGGTTCTTGCTTAGTGTGCTTAAGTCCCTGGGTTCGATTCTCCACACACAAATAATTGAAAGAACATATTTTTGAATATGACTATCTAGTACAAACCCTCCCACTTTAAGTAAGGAGAAAATGCATCCCAGACAAGGAAAATTACTTTCCATGGTCACACAGTGAGTTAGTAATCTTCTCAGCACATAACTGTGCAATTCTGATAACCAATGCATCACCTGAACTACTGTCATTTCATATTTCAACACAGAGGGTATAACCCTCATTGTACCATGCCATGTACATATAACTTAATTGGGAAGAAATGTAACCTGTTGCTGGGAGTAAAAATTCTCTTGATCAAAAAGACATTCATAGACATTGGATTAAAGATATAATTATTCATTTAACAATTATTCATTTGTAGATTTTTGCTATTCTACTTCATAATTCTTCAGCTGTTTCAGTCCATCTTTCCTGTAAGTGGGGGTTAAAAGCCAAAAACTGAGGCTGAAAACTGTACCTACAATAGCAGCATAGAATTAATAGCCAAACTTCAGGGCTAATTTTGCAAAAAAAAAAAAAAAATTGGGTCCAACTCTTTTTGCCAAATACTTGAGGAACTGGAGACCAAAAGAGAGAAAAGGGCTTACCTCTAAGTCCCAAGAACATTTATTGATAAGATTCTTTTCCTAATGTTATGCCATGGCTAAGTTATGATTTAGATGAGAGTTATAGCAGGGATGCCCATTAACCATTCCATTACAATTGTGAAAGCTAATTGCTTCTGATCCAACCCCACCCTGTGGCTAAAGTTATCTTTTCAAAAGACAAGTCCTATAGTGCTAAACTTCCATGACATTATTTATACTTAGAGTAAACATCAGAAGCCAAAAGGTGAGGCACAGACAATATAGGATCTAGACAACACACTGTTTCTCCAGTCTGATCTCTTATCCTGCTCTACCTAGTTCTTCTGCCTTCAACTATGATGACTTTTAAGTTCCTTGTATACACCTTGTATCTTTTTCTCCATCCTGGAACAGGCTCTTCTCTTGCATAATGCTTCCTTCCATCCCACCCTCAGCCCCTAACTTCTCTTAGCTAACTTCCACTCATCCTTCAGAACTTATTTCAAGTGCCAACTTCCCTCACTATCAATGTGTGTTCCATTTCCACATGACAGATTCTCATAGCATCCTGATCTGTCATCAACTATTAATGTATCAAGAGTATAAACTCCATGAAGACAAAGATAGTATCAGTTTTGCTGTTTCCTACATCGGCCTTACCCAATTTCAAGAAAACAGTAGGCTTAAAAACATTTTTTTTCCAATAAAAGTTTGTGGAATATATGCTATGTTCACATACACTAATCACTATGCTACCTTATCAAAGCATCAATGAATCTAAAAGCCAGGATTTGGGAATTACAAGGATGACAACTAATCTCGATTACAATCAAGATACAACCCAAGGTAAAATAAGCTTTCCCAATCCAAATGTCAACAGATGAAGGGTTGATCTTGTCTAGTTGTTCTGACCTCCTCTAGGCTTTCATTTAGACTCTTGCCATTGGGGAAAGGGGAGAGTTAGGTTAAACCAGGCTGCCTTTAACAGGCCAAGGATAAAGAGCATTTTCTGAAGAGACTTATCCTCTGTTCACATTTCCCATCCCTCTGAACAATGCGTCCAAAATAGGATCATGTCTGGTTTCAAGCCCGATTCAGTTCCAATGACACTACAACCCATTCATTTGAGAACCTGCCAAGTGAACTCTCTTTTTTCTCCTCCCAAATTCCTGCTGGGTATTATTTTGTTGCCACCAAAAAAAAATTTAAAAAGCCTCAGTTGAAGTGACAACTCCTTGTTGGGAGGGCAGCCAGGGCTTTTCGGCAGGAGGTGATGGCACTGCTTGCCCTCAGCCAGAAAACAAAACAAAGGCATCAGACGAAGGACTTCTGGGAGAGCCAAGGCTTCGCGGATGTTTGTTCAATATTCGGCAACAGTGCAGGGCGCTGCCTCTCCAGTCAGACAGGCTTGCTTTGGCAATAGGCTCGCACTTGAAGCATTTAAAGGCTCCACAGGGACCAGAGGGGCTCAAATTAGAAACGTTTAGGGAGGGGGGGAAAGGGTGAGACTTTTATATCATTAAAGAATGGCCTTTCTTACAGCAATGGCCTCCCAGGAATTACTGAAACGGGCTCATTTCTTAGGTGGAGTTACTGTCTGCTGTTGGAGGAAAGCAGTCACTCTGAGGTCTGACTCAAGGATCCTCACAAATATCCTTAACAAAGGGGAAACAGGCGGCTGAAACACCATCAGGGAGGCCTGTGTTGCTGTGTTGTGCAATCCGACTTCTCAGCCTCACAGATGAAAGTCCAGCGTCATCAGTGTGTCCTTTATAAATAACAGTACCAGCCGAAAAGAGTCACTGTGAGGATTACATAGGGGGCCTGGCATAGGTTAAGCCCTCAATTAATATTAGTTGTTATTGTTGTTGCTGTGGTTGTTATAATTATGTTGCTGTTATTGTAACAGGATGTTAAAATTGAAATTTCTATTGAGACACTATAAGGTAATAGAAGTAGAATCCTGAAGTCATGCCCCTA